TTAAATTTTTCAAGTTTCTTCCAAATGGTGGAAGGTATAAAAAGTTCGGCACGGCCGAACTCAGCTGCTTTTTTACTTGTTTATATTGTTACAACAAAAGGCCCTCAACGTAAAGCAATATATTTTATGCTGATTTATTCATATCTGACCGTCTATAGAAATCACTAAATCTTCCGAGTTAGTTAGTGGACAAAATGAATTTCAAATACATTTTAGGTGTTGAAAATAAAACAGGTAAGTCCACTATTAGTTAAGCCTCCATATGACTTTGACGATCTATGACTTTTTTCATATTTTTAAATAGAATTATTTGAAATTTGGTATTTGGTATTTACAAATCGTTATGGTTACCATACCCCCTTGCGGGAAATGATCTATGTGATCCCTATGTGATTCCTGAATGATTTCAGGAACATAAATCCCGTAAAATTTGATGTTGCAAGTGCCTCACAAAAGATATATAATAAACCATTAAAATACAGTACTTTGGCAATTATATGTATATTATTGAAAGTAGAACCTTCCAAATTGTGGTGGTTTTCGCCTTAATTATTTTATAGGAATGGCCTCTGACGCCACCACAAAAGTCTACAAGCTCACTTTTTATTCTTTTCTCACTGGCTTGGCATTCATTTAAAATTGATACAAAATTAACCATTTTTATTGAAAAATTTTATTGTTCTCAAAACCCGTGAGTTGTATAAAACATCTGTTATCGACATCACTGTTGATGATTCATTTCAAATAATTGTCTAAAACTTGTTTATCGACTATGCACTTTTATCGACAAACATTTTGAACACAGTAGCAGACGCGAACAGTAGTCATACAAAATCAAAACAACTTTTGATACCAGTACCGAGCTTCCGTATTTGAACGAATTCTGTTTTAAACAACAAATGTCTGTGCTATATGGCGGCTATATAAAGACCTATACATATGCCAAAGTATATCAAAACTTAAACCAATATAGGCAATCTTCAGATTGACTTCGAATTCCACTGTGCTAATATAATATACTAGCTGAACCCGCTGCGCTTCGCTACCCCTTTTGATTTTATATGCATTCAAAATTTTATTTACGAATATATGTTGGTTAAAAAAAACAAATTTAAAAAGTAAAAAAAAAATTATTGCACTACTTTAATGCGTAAATAACCAAAACCATTAGAAAAGCAGTAACATGACATACATACACGAAGGGTTTGTCCTTCGGGTTTATTTATTTCATAGCAAATACCAAGCGTGCAGTAAACTGCAATCTTTTGAAGTTGAGTGGCATTTCTATTGCAATTAGTGAATTCGAGATAGCAACATACTTCGCCGTAATAAGCGTATTTCAAATCAATTGTTGTGTTGTTTTTTAGCGTTAGCCTAAGGCGTTGTGGGTCAATGGTTCTTATTAAAATCATATCCCAATCTGATCCGATTTAAATATAATTTTAAAAAAATTACTTTTACACCAAATTCCGCCACACCTTTCATATTTCATTGAAATTGGTGCGTCAAATATGTGAAATCGGCCGAGAATATATATATGGGAGCTATATCCAAATCTTAACTAATTTCCAATTAATTTATCACATTTATTATTGTAACCAAATTCCGCCACACATTCTGAATTTCATTGGTATCGGTCATATATATCATGTTCGGTGCTTAACATGTATGAAATCGGCCGAAATATATATGTTAGCTATACCCAAACCTCAACTGATTTTAATATAATTTGGCAATTCTTTCTGGTGCCAGATTTTGTCTCTCTCGCTTTGGGTGCATCAAATATGTGAAATCGGCTGAGTATATATATGGGAGCTATAATCAAATCTGAGCGTATTTGAATATAATTTGTCAAATTTATTTTTGTACCAAATTTAGCCACTCATGCCGAATTTCATTGGGATCGGAAATACGTATCGTGTTTTGTGCATCAAATATGTGAAATCGGCGGAAAATATATATGGGAGCTATATCCAAATCTGAACCGATTTAATATAATTTGACTAATTTATTTTCTAATCAAAATCCCGTTACATATTCCAATTTTCTTTGGAATCGAACATACATATCGTGTATGGTGCATAAAATACATGAAATCGGTCGAAAATATATATGAGAGCTATATCGAAATCTGAACCGATTTTAATATAATTTGACAAATGTATATTTGTTTTAATTTTCGCTACACATTCCAAATTTCATTGAAATTAGAGATACATAGCGTGTTTGGTGCATCAAATACATGAAATCGGTCGAAAATATATATGGGAGCTATATCCAAATCTGAACCGATTTCAATATAATTTGGGAAATCAATTTTTTAGATAAAATCTATCACACGTTTCAAATTTCATTAAAATTGGGGATACATAGCGTGTTTGGTGCATCAAATGCTTGAAATCGGCCGAAAATATATATGGGAGCTATATCCAAATCTGAACCGATCTCAATATAATTTGACAAATTTATTTTCGGATCAAATCCCGTCACACATTCCAAATTTCATTGGAATCGAACATTCATATTGTGATTGAGGCATCAAATGAACGAAATCGGTCGAAAATATATATGGGAGCTATATCCAAATCTGAACCGATTACAATATAATTTGGCAAAATTATTTTTGTTCCAAATTCCGTTACGTATTCCAAATTTGGAGACTGTATCTTCAACCAATCAATAGATATGTGCAATAAAATCTATATTTTTGGGAGGTACCACAGATTCTGATGCTGTATTTCCAGTTCCAAGTGGAAATTCAAAAATATATATGTTACTTTCAGGCGATGTTGCAGTATATATGGAAATTTTCAGGAAAATCTATTCAGCGGTTTTCGAGTCCATAAATTACAAACAAACATATAAACATTTTCCTCTTTTATAGGTATAGATTTACAATGTCGGATCTAAAAAGGTATTTTGGTAATACATACGGATTTCCTGATGCTCAAAATATTTACATTTATTTTTTATAGATGACTTCTCGTTTAAAAATATTTACTTTTAATGAGAATTTATGAATTTCGTTTACTCATATTCACATTGTGATTTTCCTTGCTCACTAATTGTATGTTATAAATGAAATAATGGTGTTACGTAGTAGATTTAATATGCATTGTGCAACAGAAACCAGTAAAGAAAGTCTTAAAGTCGGGCGGGGCCGACTTTATGTTACCCTACACCACTTTGCTGATTTAGTAGAGCTCCGTATAACAATTAAAAGTTTTTATAGGAGAATTCAATCATACACGCTATGATTATAATTATAATTTAAAGTTCAAAGGACTAAATATGCCGATGCATTTGTATCTTTTAAATTCGGTGTTTAAGTGTTAAGTGTTTTGCCCAATTGGTGAACAATTAATTTGAAATCGTATAAAAACATATATTGGAGCTATATCCAAATCGAAACCGCTGTATTTCATATATTTCCCTGAATATCGTTGTTACGGAGTGCATATTACGTCTGCGAACGACAAAAATAGCAAATCGGATGAAAAGTATATATGGGAGCTATAGCTATATGTGAACCGATTTCGATCAAATTTGACATACTTATTTTCAGGCATAATTTGGTTGTATGTGCAAAATTCCATACTATTCGGGCTGATATTACACGTTTGGTGCACAATAAAAGCAAATCGGACGAAGATATATATGGGAGCTATATCCAAATTTTGACCGATTATCTCCAATTTCAATAGGGTTCGTCCTTGGGCCAAACAAATGATTTGTGCCAAATTTCATCTGGATAGGGCAATAAATGCGATCTGTACTTTGTTTACAAAAATACATGGACAGACGGACGGACGGACGGACATGCATAAATCGACTCAGAATGTGATTCTTCTTTCCACATACATACTTGACACAGCTTTAATAAGAAGATAACCCTCGAAGTATAAGCTGTTAATGTTGTTTTTAGGTAAAATTTCTTCTCGCAAACTAATTGATGTATTGCTGTAGCCCCTATATAGTGGTCGGTTCAGGCCGAATTAGCTCTAAAGTAAAGATTTCATGGTATAATGAAGAGGAGGAAGCAGAAAACCGAGCTGATTTGCCCCTACTGCAATACTTTTGTGCTTTAATTCCCTTTTTATACTCTTAAGTTTAGAGGGTATGTTAAATTTGTCATACCGTTACAAACTCCTCTAAATTTTCGTCGTAGACCTCATAAAGTGTATATGATCATGATCAGCATAAAATTCTAGGTCGATTTAACGATATCCGTTTTTCTACATTATTTGACCCATAGAAATTTGGCACAATAGTTTGTATTTGCTTTGGTTTTTTACACAACTTTTTACTACTGATATAACCGATTTTCCTTTTTTGATATCGGGAAAAAATGCAAAAAATAAGAGATTCTTGCAGGCTCTCTAACGATATCTCCAGATATTCGCAGTTTTGGAGATTTAAGTCACATTTTTCCACGAAATTGTTTCAAATTTGTTATTGAGATTTTCTAGCGGTACTTCCTGGTATTCTGTATTTTGATGATTATAGCTCTTAACTATATCCTTCAATAGATTTTTTGTAATTAGACATTATTATTTTCGATGAGTTAAAAGCCGTTTCTCCGATAATTATTGCGGTATAGCCCCATACAACGATCCCTCCGGTTTGGGGTATAATTGAGGGCTTACTGATTTAATAGATTTTAGATGATGAAGGCGCCAGACCTCCGTCGCACATAGGCCTTTCAATGAATTTGACTTTATATCTGCTTTGGTCTAAATTTGTTGTCTGATTACAAAAATATGGAAATTTCTCAATAGTAGATTCCATATTTGCATTGTAAAAAAATGTTACACAGTGTTATTTTCTTTAATTTTTCCATTAATATATATTTATTTTGGTTACAAATGTATGTATTCAACCTTACAAGTATAATTCCACAGATTAAACCAGAAACAATAACATATTAAAACGTAATGATAATTTATTGTTGGTCTATAATAATTTGGGATCGAGATCAAATCGCCGACTGACAAACAAACCACAATACAATTAGACTCCAGCTTCGCAATACGTCATTTCAAGATTCGAGTGTACAATGAATTTTCTACGAAACTGGAATACAAATTATCGCACATATTCTAAAGTCTAATTCTTTAATAATCAGCTTCATGGAAATAAATTCAACATTAGAGTATAAAAACTGCATCAAATAGAACGTTTCGCGTCGCTTAGCTCAAATACAATTTTTTTTTTTTTGCATTAAAATAAATATTAATAAATGGATTTCAAACTCAAGATAACTTCCGTCCTGGTAATTTGTATTATATATATATCCTTAGCAGATGGTGCCAAATTTCTCACCGAAAAACGTAAGTTGGAATAAATAAAATTGGGTAATATTTTGGTTTCACAAAGTGTCCATATGCATTTACAGCTTCCTTTCTAAGTTCATGTAAAACGAGTGACCCAAGCTTTACCAACTGTCTGGCAAATAACTTTCAAGGATTATTTCAACAATGGAAGAAAGGTAAGTGGGTTATTTCAGCATTATTTTTGGGAAAATTTAAAAAAGATATAATAACCGAACTCTTTAGGTACAAACTCAATTGCACACAATTTTAGCTTGATTAACATTAACGGACAAAAATTCATTGAAAAAAATATATATATATATTTTTTTTTTTTTTTTTGAAGAATTTTTCCGCGAATGATTTAAGTGGTATGCTTATTTGCGTCATATTTAGCATTTTTCAATTTAAATCATTTAATATTATTTGAATAAAAAAGGTGTATAAACTTCGCTCTGAGAGAATTTCTTTTCCCAGAAAGCACAGCACGGAAGATCCTTCAAAATTGAAAAAATAACCAGTCAAAATATAGCAACCTTGATACTATTTTTACACCACCAAAATTGACTTAGTAAAAGTCAAAATTCCTTAGGACGGGCTAAAATGCTTAAAATGAGGGTATATCGTTATATGGTGGCTATACGAATGAATTGGCCGATATAGCTCACTCTCGAACTTAATATAGCCCACACTTGAAGTTGATACAGGGGTTGTTATCTATTGTGAATATAAAATACCAAATCATAAAAATATCTAAAATTGAGAGCAAAATGTGGACTTATTTGGACAATATTTTACCACCGGATGTACCATTATATGGGGCTATAAAATAATTACAAACTTTAAGTACCGAGTTTTAAACAATTCTGTTAGAAACAAGTAAGCAAAGGCTATAGTCGTGCCGGGCCGACCATGCGATACCCTGCAACATTTCAACATGTTAGAAGCCCTCATATGTTCAAATTCATTTTGGAAGATTTCGCTTTTAAAATTATGTAACGGAGCACTGCCCAGATATTGCCCTTAGCAATTTGACCAGGGACATTTGCCCAACATTTATGTACTCCGTCGTGCTGTTAGTTGTTGTAGTTCATTTTACAGCTAAATATAATCCAATGGTCATCCAAAATGCTAGAATTCTTCCCTGTCTTTAACTCTCTTCTCAGGCGTGTCGATTGGATTCACTTGTGTGATCATGAAATTATTCCCGTTTTTGGTTAATTTAAATATTTTGCGATCATCTCCAAAAGCAAGAAGCCACTCTGTATTTCCAAATTTTGACTCACGTATATGATTTGCTTGTCTACGATATTTGGCTATATTCGTCAACGAAATCAGCATAAAAAACCAGAAGTTCTCCTTTTGTATATTTCGGATATCGCCTGTAAATAATGTTGGTAATTTTTCACACAAAAGTAGTGATCAATTCTACCCGCTGTCCTAAACTCAAACTTCATGCGAGATTTCGAGTCCTTTGGTTTATATTTGTGACCTTTATAACGGCTGCAAAATCAGGGTCATTATTTGTTGTTGGTCCATTTTAACCCCTAAATATATTCGGGACATCATTGAAAACAATAGGCCTAGGCCTTCTGAGTCTAACTCTACCCTTGTGAAAATTTTCGTGAGGATCGGACGATAATTGCAATCTGTATGCAATAAACCCAACCTGTGTTGTAAGGTGACAAAATATTACAAAATATACACTTCAATATTGTAAGTCAAATTGAAAAATCGCATGCGATAAAAATATGAAAAAATAAAAATATGTCACAAAATACTACAAAATCTATATTAACATCATTATTGTCATCTCTTTATGCGATTTTTTTAGATTTTATACTTTTATGTCAAGAGAGCATTCTGAATTCACAATCGGTCCAGCCATTCTTGAGATATAAGCATTCTAGCTAAAGGGATGTTAGCTAGAAAACACATTGTAAAATTTTCGCTATATATATCCGATTATTTACTATCGGCATCTACATAACGGTCAGCCTTATGGATTAGCCTTTTCGTCTATTTGTGATTTCGTCGGGATTAAAAATATTCGCGGAAATGGAAAATTTGACTTTTACTTAACACAAATGTTATGGTCTATTTTACCCACCGAATATTACCCGATGGCTTTCAAAATTGAAAGGCTTCTGCCCAGCCCTAAGCTCTAGCCCCATGCAATATTCCGCGTCGATTGGTCTATAATTGCTTGTAGAGCAACAGCAATATGCTTCTATTCTTCATTATACATTTCGTGAAGATCGAGACATAATTGCGACCACCTGTAGAGTGATTACAAATTAACATGGACAGAGGGACGGACGGATTGATTGACTCAGCTCGACGAGATAGGAAGATCCATATATACTTTCCTATTTGGGAAGCCAATATTTTGAGGTGTTACATAATTTTTGGCCCAATCAAACTTATAATACCCCAACACATAGTGTTTTGGGGTATAAATACGTGGATTAAATCGTCAGAGACCATGGAAAATTATGCACAGGCGAACTTTACAGCTTCTCAGTAGATAGCTTTTAAGATTGAAACATTTTTTATATAACAGGTTGATCAAATAACTATTATACATTAATGTATAGACGTTTGTACATATTAGCACAATACAATAGATTAAATTGAGTATTCCATTGAATTATTGTTGCGTTTAAAATTTTTACGACAACTTTAATGTGTTTCTCAAGGTATTCCCGGTTTAAAATCGTTCGGCACATTGGATCCTCTACATATCAAAAAAATTAAGTTCCATCACAACCAACCTCCAATCGATTTGCACATTCATTTACAAGAGGTAGATATCAACGGTTTGGGCGATGTAAAAGCAACAGAAACAAGGTAAGCAATTATTTCAAAATTCATTACAAAATCAATAACTTTTAATTCCGTCTTACAGTTTCGATCCAAAGAAGTTGAGCGCAACTATTGTTTTAGTTGTACCCAATTTAAAACTTCAGTCAGATTACAGCATAAAAGGTAAAACTCGCCATTTGACTTTGGATGGAAACGGTAAACTAGATTTAAATGCAAGTAAGTTTGATTAAAATTTTTAAAATAAAGATTTATTTAATTCATTTACAAAACTAATTCTTACAATTTAGGTAATATGGTGATTCATCTCAAAGTTCAACTCAAACTGCGTGAGAGCGACGGCCTCAAATTTGGTGACATTGAAAAGCTTAATTTGAACATCAAAGAAGTTGGGGATCTCCACATACATTTGGATAATCTCTTCAATGGCCAAAAAGAACTCGAAAGTTCGGTAAATGATTTTCTTAATCAAAGTTGGCGTTCATTTTATGAAGCCGTACGTCCCGGTATAAGTGCAGCTATAGAAGCAGTTGTGAAGGATCGTCTTCCAAAGGCCTTCGCTTACATACCGGCGAACTATTTTATTGAAGACATTGATAGTCTATAAGAGATGAAAAATGCGATATAAATATGTTCTGTAAGAAATAAAAGATATAGAAATTATTACAAAAAAAAAAAAAAACAATACTTTTTCTATAGCTTAAGTAGTTGAAAAAAAGTTTAAGTTCAAATTGGTATTAATATGGAACTTGAGGAAACGGGTTTTTAATTTGTATGGAGAGTATATTAAGTTTGTCATTCCGCTTGTAACTCATCGAAATAATCATCAATCCTATAGCCCCCGTATAATTGTAACTTCCCATATTCGTTATTTTGGTGACTTTCAGATTCTAACGGAATTGCTTAAAATTTGGTATTTAGAGTTAATAATGGATTCTATCTCCTGTATCTGAACATCTTCTATATCTATAAAAGTTTGTATGTTCGTTTGTAATTTATGGACACACGCTTTGTGCGCCACATTTGAATGAAATTTAGAATGTGTGATGGAACTTGTCTAACAAATTTATTTCCTTAATTATATTATATCAGATTTGGATATTGCTCCCATATCTATTTTCGGCCGATTTCATGTATTTGACAAAACACGCTATGTATCTCTAATTCCAATGAAATTTGGAATGCGTAATGGAATTTAAAACGAACATACATTTGTCAAATTATATTGAAATCGGTTGGGGTTTGGGTATAGTTCCAATATATATTTTCGGCCGATTTCATGTATTTGATGCACCAAACACGTTATATTTCTCCAATTTCAATGAAATCTGGAAATAAATAAAACTACACAACAACTTAATTGGGGCTACGATTACGGGGAAATATGAAAGTTGATATGTACATATTACTATCTAGAATCCCTTCAATAGCTACCACAATTCAGTTTAAGTTAAAAATATTGCAATTTCCAGTACGGTTGGCATTTGCTATGACAATTAATAAGTCCCAAAGACAAGCTCTTCGAGTATGCGGACAACATTTAGCATGTTCCTGCTTTTCTCATAGTCAGCTGTATGTGGAATATTCATGTGAGGGTGGACGTACCGATATGTCTGCTTAAACTTCTGAAGGAAAAAAATTTTATATCCTAAAGCATTACAACCAATACGTTTTTTTAAATTCTTGATTTTATTTTTTATTTAAGAATGTAAAAACTTTTGTTTACCGGAGCGCACCTGGTTCATCTATCTTCTTTTATATCTATAAAAGAGGACAATGTATGTACTTGTGATTGTTTGTTTGTAATTTATAAACACAAAAACTGCCAAGATCGGTTCAGATTTAGATATAGCCCCCTATATTTTTTCAGCCGTTTTCACATATCTGATGCGCCAAACCCGATACGCAAATTATATTGAAATCAGTTCAGATTTGGATATAGCTGCATATATATTTTTGACAGATTTCGTTTATTTGATGCAAAAAAACGATATGTATGTCCGATTCCAATGAAATTCAGAATGTGTGGCGGCATATGGTACAAAAATAAATATTGGAAATTATATGGAAATCGGTTAAGATTTGAATGTAGCTCCCATATATATTTTCGGCCGATTTCATGTATTTGATGCACAAAACACGCTATGTATCTCTAATTTCAATGAAATTTGGAATGCGTAACGGAATTTAAGACGAACATACATTTGTCAAATTATATTGAATTCGGTTGGGGATGGAAAAGTAGCGAAGCGCGCCAGGTTGTGTTAGTATATAAAAAGAGTAGTGAAATGACTGATTGACTGACTTATTGACCGAGACGAAACGCCCAGATGAAACGGGTGAAGCTAGAATTTTCATTTTTTTTCATTTTGCACAAGGGTCAGTCTTGGTGCGTCGACGTGTGTTACGCTGAAAATTCGAACCAAAAGGGTACGAAAAGCACTAAAATGTACTCCAAATGAAATACTTTATATTGGACAAACGAAATGAGATAAGAAAATTGGAATTCGAGGTTTTGGAAATTCGAACTTGAAGGATACGAAAAGTTTTAAAATTGTACCATTTGGTATTATGTGAACGGAAAGTGGTAAAAACTTGAAATTTGATATGAAAATCAAGGTTCGAAAGTAAGTATGTGTTTGATATTTGACGGTGGTTTCGAAATGGCCCTATAATTGTACGAAAAGTACTAATAGCAATAGGTTTTGTATTGGTGATGGGATAGGGCAAGAATCCTCAAGTCTCATATTGAGGTCTCTGTTGCTAACTGGAATTGAGATATGGAGGTGGTTTTGGAAATGTGTACTATAATTGCACGAAAAATACTTAAATTGGTACTTGGAGAAGGGATAGAACTGAATTACTGAAATTTAATATAGATGTTACTGTAGGTGTCTGTGGTTAAGATATGGATGAGGTTTTTGGAAATGCGTACATAATTATTGGAAAAGTACTAAGGGGTACTGAATTGGCTATTATTTAAATAGAGCTGGAAACCCGAAATTTGTTTCCGGTGTTTCTGTTGATATCTGGGATCTATTTTTACAAAAGAGGAAAATTGTTCGTTTGTAATTTATTACTCCCATATATATTTTCGACCGATCTCTACTATTTGATGCGCCAAACACTGTATGTTTTTCCGATTCGAATGAAATTTGGAATGAGTGTCGAAATTTGGTACAAAAATACATTTGCAAAATTATATTGAAATCGGTTCAGATTTGGATATATCTCCCATATAAATTTTCGGCTGATTTCATGTATTTGGTGCAAAAAACACAAAATGTATCTCAAATTTTAATGAAATTTAAAGTAAGTAACGGAAATGGGAATATAGTTCCCATATACATTTTCGGCCGATTTTATGTATTTTATGTACCAAACACGCTGTGTATATCAAATATCAATGAAATTCAGAATGTGTGATTGAATTTGGTCTAACGATCTATTTATCAAATTATATTTAAATTGGTTCAGATTTGGATATAGCTTTCATATATATTTTTGGCAGATTTAATATGCAGCAAACACGATACGTATGCCTGATTCCAATGAAATTCGGCTTGAGTGATTAAATTTGGTACAAAAAAAAATTTGCAATATTATATTGAAATCGGTATAGATTTAGATATAGCTCCCATATATATTTTCGGCCGATTTCGTTTATTTGAGGAATCAAACACGCTGTTTATGTTCGATTCCAATGAAATTTGGAATGCGTGACGGGATTTGATCCGAAAATAAATTAGTCAAATTATATTGAAATCGGTTCAGATTTGGATATAGCTCCCATATAAATTTTCGGCCGATCTCACATATTTGATGCACCAACACCAAACATATGTCCATGGTACAATAAGAAGGTAATATAGAGCTATCAGCTGATTACAATTTTTTTCTAAGTGTGCCCGACTTCTGCCAATTTTGTGTATGTATTTATTGTTTTGAAAATGAAAAAAAGATATTTTTGAAATCAGTGATTGGAAGACATGTACATTGCGGCTCGGGCATTAAAGATATTAACAACTTTAGCCATGAAAGTGAAAGATTGAACAGTTTGGATCATGTTTTTGAGAGAAAATCCGGGCATTTCATTCATTGTTCGCGCTATTTGACTCATTCAAATATGAGGGAAAGTATGAAAAAATGAAAACACTTGTTTCATAAAATTTTGAATGAGTCTGACAGAAAGCGGGCATAGCCTCAGGGCTGCATTTCTGTAGTTTTACGAAGCTGTTCTACCTCCTTATTGTACCATGCATATGTCCAATCCAATGAAATTCGGACAGAGAGACGAAATTTGGTACCAAAAAAATTGTCAAATTATACTGAAATCGGTTGAGGTTTGGGTATAGCTCCCATACATATATTTCGGAAGATTTCATGTATGTTATGCACCAAACACTATATGTATGTCCGATTCCAATGAAATTCAGAATGTGTGGCGGAATTTGGTTACAAATTTGATCCACCAAACACGGTATATAACTCCAATTTCAATGAAATATGGAAGGTGTGATGAATTTTGGTCTAAAAGTAATTTTTATACCCTCCACCATAGTATGGAGGGTATATTAAGTTTGTTATTCCGATTATAACACCTCGAAATATACATTTTAGACCCCACAAAGTATATATATTCTTGATCAGCATAAAATTCTATGTCGATTTATGAATGTCCGTACGTCTGTCGGCCTGTGGAAATCACTCTAGCTTTCGAACGTAATGAAGTAGGTTGATAAAATTTTACTCAAATGTGAACTATATCTGTAGGACTCTTGGTATTGGAGGGTATATTAAGTTTGTTATTCCGATTGTAACACCTCGAAATATACATTTTAGACCCCACAAAGTATATATATTCTTGATCAGCATAAAATTCTATGTCGATTTATCATTGTCCGTCCGTCTGTCCGTCTGTCGGCCTGTGGAAATCACTCTAGTTTCCGAACGTAATGAAGTAGGTTGATAAAATTTTACTCAAATGTGAACTATATCTGCAGGACTCTAGGTATTGAAAATGGGCCATGTAGGTCCACGTCTTCGTATAGCCCCCATATAAGGGTACCTTCCGATATGCGGTATTTTGATGATTCTAGCGACATTATTTACCGGAATTGTTTCAAATTTGGTATTTGAAGTTCGTAATGAATACTACAGTCTATGACAGAAAATTGTCTGTGCAGGTCCACGTCTTCGTATAGTCCCTTATAAAGGTATTGATCGATTACAGATATACTCTCCAAATTTGGAATACGTAATGGAATTTGAAATAAAAATAAATTTGCCAAATTATATTGCAATCGGTTCAGATTTGGATATAGCTCCCATATACATTTTCGGCCGATTTCATGTATTTGATGCATCAAACACGCTATGCATCTCTAATTTCAATGAAACTTTTAATGTAAAATGAACATATGTATGTTCTACTTTAATGAAATTGTGAATTAGTGCCGGGATTTGATCACAAAATAAATATACAAAATTATATTGAAATCGGTTGAGGTTGGGGTATCTGCACCTATTTCAATATAATTTTGCAAATTTATTTTGGTACCAAATTTCGCTACATATATCTGTTTTGTTTATTTACGCATTAAAGTAGTACAATATTTATACCCTACACCACAAGGTGGTCAGGGTATTATGTCTTTGTGCATTTGTTTGTAACAGGCAAAAGAAAACAAGATAGACCCATAGTTCCTTTTGATGATCTGCATAGAATCACATTCTGAGTCGATTTATGCATGTCCGTCCGTCCGTCTGTCCATGTATTTTTGTAAACAAACACATTTATAGCCCTATCCAGATGAAATTTGGCACAAATCATTTGTTTGGCCCAAGGACGAACCCTATTGAAATTGGAGATAATCGGTCAAAATTTGGATATAGCTCCCATATATATCTTCGTCCGATTTGCCTTTTATTGTGCACCAAACGTGTAATATCAGCCCGAATAGTATGGAACTTTGCACATACAACCAAATTAAGCCTGAAAATAAGTATGTAAAATTTGATCGAAATCGGTTCACATATAGCTATGGCTCCCATATATACTTTTCATCCGATTTGCTATTTTTGTCGTTCGCAGCCGTAATATGCACTCTGTAACAACAATATTTGGGGAAATATATGAAATACAGCTCAGAAATACATTTGCTAAATTTTATCGAGATCGGTTCAGATTTGGATATAGCCCCCATATATAACTTCGTCCGATTTACCTTTGATTGTGCACCAAACGTCTAATATTTGCCCAAATTGGATGAAATTTAGCACTTACGACCGAACTGAGTCTAGAAGCTAGTGTGTTAAATTTGGTGAAGATCGGTTCAGATATAGCTATAGCTCCCATATATACTGTTCATCCGATTTGTCATATTTGTTAACCACAGCCGTAATATGCACTCCGTAACAACGATATTCAGGGAAATATATGAAATACAGCGGTTTCGATTTGGATATAGCTCCAATATATGCTTTTATCCGATTTCAAATTAATTGTGCACCAATTGGGCAAAACACTTCCGAATTTAAAAGATACAAATGCATCGGCATATTTAGTCCTTTGAACTTTAAATTATAATTATAATCATAGCGTGTATGATTGAATTCTCCTATAAAAACTTTTAATTGTTATGCGGAGCTCTACTAAATCAGCAAAGTGGTGTAGGGTAACATAAAGTCGGCCGCGCCCGACTTTAAGACTTTCTTTACTGGTTTTTTTATACCCTCCACCATACTATGGAGGGTATATTAACTTTGTCATTCTGTTTGTAACTCCTCGAAATACTCATGTCAGACCCAACAAAGTATATATATTCTTTATCAGCGTAAAATTCTAAGTCGATTTAGCGATGTCCGTCTTTCTGTCTGTCCGTCTGTCTGTCTGTTGTAATCACGCTATCTTTCGAACAAATTGAGATACAAGGCTAAAATTTTGCACACAGGTTTATTTTTATAGTAGGCAGGTTATGTTCGTAAATGGGCCATGTAGGTCCACGTTTTCATATAGCCCCCATATAACGGTACCTCCCGATATTCGGTATTTTGATGATTTTAGCGACGTTATTCACCGGAATTGTTTCAAATTTGGTATTTGAAGTTCGAAATGGATACTACAGCCTAAGACAGAAAATTGTCTGTGCAGGTCCACGTCTTCGTATAGCCCCACATAACTGTACCTCCCGATATTTGATATTTTGATGATTTTAGCGACATTATTAATCGGAATTGTTCAAAATTTGGTATTTGAAGTTCGCAATGGATACTACAGCCTAATTGTCTGTGCAGGTTCACGTCTTCGAATAGCCCCCATATAACGGTACCTCCCTATATTCTATACTTTGATGATTTTAGCTACATTATTCGCGTTTATTTCAAGTTCCGAATTTGAATTTGGTAATGACTCATGACAAATAATGTCTGTGTGGGTCCATGTCGTATAGGCACCAATATAACGGCAATATTCGGTATTTTTAAATTTTTTTCAGGATTTTATTTCCAAATGGTGGAGGGTATTCAAAGTTCGGCCCGGCCGAAGTTACTGCTTTTTAACTTGTTAATTTTTAAATTTGTTTTTTTTTTTTCAACATATATTCGTAAATTAAATTTTTCTTACAAAATCAAAAGGAGTAGCGAAGCGGTATATATATATATATATATATATATATATATATATATATATATATATATATATATAAATATATATATATATATATATATATATATATATATATATATATATATATATATATATATATATATATATATATATACTAGCAGAACTCGGCGCGCTTCGTTACTCCTTTTGATTTTATAAGAAAAAAATTTTATAAGAAAATTTTATTTACGAATATATGTTGAAAAAAAAAACAAATTTAAAAACAAGTAAGCAAAAGCTACAATCGAGCGGGGCCGACCGTTGAATACCCTACAACACTACAATAAACGATACAGTTTATATAGGCCAAATACTCGAAAGAATTCCACAAGATATTGTGACAAATAATTAAAGAAAACCATCAGGTTTCGTTCTCTAATTTTCGAATACAATTTGCAGACAATTTTGCAGTTTTTTGTCCATTTCAACCCCGAAGTAAATGGCGATTATCTCCAAAAAGAGTAGGCTTCTATTCTGACCCTCATCTTATCTCCATGCAAAATTTCATAAGGATCGGGCCATAAATGCGATCTGTATATGATATCCTCATATCCTAACTACTTAGTTTTGTTAGCTGTAGAAATATTACCAAATGTTTAATTCAAAATAAAAATATGCCAAAAATATGACAAAATTGAAAAAATATGAGAAAATATTACAAAATCAATATTTTCATCTTTAGAGAGATATTTTTATGCGATTTTTTATACGTTTTTTCTTTCCTGCCAAGAGGCCATTTTGAATTAATGAGAACTGTCGAAATCAGTTCAGCCGTTCTCGACGTATAAGAGATCTTTCAAGCATATCTTCTTTGATAGACATATATATCGCACATATTTTGCTATATATCCGATTTGATGGATGTTAACATCAATGTAAAGATCAGAAGTAACCTTGTCATGGCTTTGTGATTTCGCCGGGATTTAAAATATTCGCAGTTTAATGAAAAATTTTGAATTTTTTCTATACAAAAGATATGGTCTATTTTACCCGCTAAATATAATCCGATGACCACCCAAATTGGTAGGCTTCTTCCCCGCCCTAAACTCTAGCTACATGCGAAATTCCGCGTCGATTGCTCTATAATTGCGACCTGCAGAGCAACTGCAAAATCAGGATTTTTTTCAGTTTTTGGTCCATTTCAACCCCTAAATATTATGCGATCATCTCCAAAAGAAATAGGGTTCTATTCTGACCTTAACCCCACTTACATTCTAAATTTCGTGAAGATCGGGCCATAATTGCGACCTGTAGAGTGATTACAAATTAACATGGACAGACGGACAGACGGACAGACGGACGGACGGACATACATAGCTAGATCGACTCAGCTCGGCGAGCTAGGATACTTTCCTATATGGGAAACCAATATTTCGTGGTGTTACATAAATTCTGGCCCAATCAAACTTATAATACCCCCAACACATAGTGTTGTAGGGTATAACAAATATTGCAACTAGAAAAGCAATAACATTACATGCATACACGAAGGGTTTGCCCTTCGGATTTATTTATTTCATAGCAAGTACCAAGCGTGCAGGAAACTGCAATCTTTTGAAGTTGAGTGGCATTTCTATTGCAATTAGTAAATTCGAGGTAGCAACATACTTCCCCATAATAAGAGTATTTCAAATTAATTGTTGTGTAGTTTTTTACTGTTGTCCTAAGGCGTTCTTATTAAATTCACTTCAGGACAATTAACAAACCCCAAAGACAAACTCTTCGTGTATGTAAATTTGGCATGTTCCTGCTGTTCTCTTGGTCAGCTGTACGTGGAGTGTTTATATGAGGGTGTACCTATCGATTTGTTTCTTTACAGTCCTGAAAGAAAAACAAAAATATATTGTATATCCTAAAGCATTTCAATAAATACGTTCATAAATACTTGAATTTTGTATATAAAATTTTGAATGCATATAAAACCATAGGGGTAGCGAAGCGCACTGGGTTGTTTTGGCTATGAGTACAAAGCGCTACTAAATGTGGTTTTGAGTGAATGAATAGAGCCTCTAAGGTTTACATAAGGAGACTTTGAAATAATTGTGGGCAGAAAAAATGGAAGAGGATCCATTGTCCAATGATTTTACTTATATTCTTCTCGGCAAACTTCAAAATGAAAGATTTTGAAGACTTTATGATGTTAAAGGTAAACACTTTGCAAATCTTCTCTCAGAATAAGAAAAAACTTTAATTATATACAACTTTAAAAAACTTATAAATTAGAATTGTGTATAAATTATTATAAATGACAGGATTGACAGAAGTCAGGAACAAACAAAAAATATAATCGTCTGATAGCTCTACAATACCTTATTATTGTACCAGTCACGTATCATTCAAACATTGGTTTCCTTTTGATCTCCAATACCCTTCATCATGTGGCAATGTTAACATATATAAACAAATTATCGAAGTTCAATATTCGGGCGTGTTTCCTTTTAAACTGAATATGTTAAAGAAATTGGTTAGAGAATACAATTATAATTCTCAAAATAATATAAAATGAGAGGTACTATTATTATAGATTATAAAAAATAAGAACTCCAGCTTATTCGATCCATCAATACCATTGTTGGATTTTTTTATGCCTTTTGGTACTCGTCATGCCCTTTATTCTCGTCAAAAAAGCCCCTTGAAAACTCTACGATTCTATAAAAGAACTGTTTTTTCAAGAAGGTCATAAACATGTCCCATATATAAGAACAAATATTAAAAGCATTAGAACCCATTTCATTTTACTTTGATTTATTCCATTTGTTTGTCTTTAATTCAATTTATTTGTTTTCCTCAAAACTCCCCCCTACGAAAAGAGATTCGATTTTGAGGGATTTTATCCACAGTTATGAAATATAAAATTTCTAAAGTTTTTAAAATCTTAATTAATCTGATAATTTTTGGAAATGCAAAACTCATTACGAGTCCAATGCTGTCGATAATTATTTTTATCAACAATTAATATTATGTATCTACCACATGTTTTTAATAACAATCTGCTGTTGCAATTTTTTGTGTAATTAAGCAATATTATTAATTATAACTATTTCCTAACTTGAAATACATGTGATTTGAGTTTTTTTTTTTTTTTCTTGTCGAAAATACAAATTTAACAAGTTTTACAGATAAACTACTAAGTGGGTGAAAGATTTTTGACTATTTAAGGAACATCTAAAGACAAATGGATTTTAGTTTATATCAAAACATTTAAAGCATATAACAGAAAATGTTTCACCAATTAAAAACACAACGTGCCACATTTCTTTCAATGGCTATATTTGCTGTTGTAATTCAAATGGCCAACACCGAGGAATCAGGTAAGTGTGTATTTAAACTTCAGTTAAAAGTATAAATAAACCACATATATGTGTAATTTCAGTTTCCCAGCTGATTCCTTGTAAACTTAACGATCCCAATAATGGACCATGCTTAAGAGACTTACTGCAACACTTGCTATTAAGTGCCACAACAAACAATTCCATTGATCCTTACAAGCTAAAAAAGGCTCGAGTTACCGTGGACAATCCAAGCATTCGCCTCAATATGAATCTAACACATGTCATTATTAATGGGTTATCGCAGGCAAAAATGACTGACGTTAGGTATGTTATTGTCACTCAATTTAAGAACCGAATCCTTAAAATCCAATAATTCGTAGTACCAGTGATGGCGAGAGCTTTGTTCTAAATGTAAAAATTCCCAAAATCCATATATCCGGTAATTATGTGATGGATGGTCAGGTATTACTTTTAAATCTTGCTGGAAAAGGCGAATTCGACGTAGACTTCAGTAAGTATTTAGATTTGTAATTTTTTGAAATATACGAAATGTCCTTTTTTCCGTGTTTCAGGTGATATAGACGTACGATTTAGCCTAATTGCAAAAATAGTCGATCGTGATGAGGAGCACTACTTCAATGTGGAAACCCTCAAATCTAAAATCAAGCATTTGGGCAACATGCATGTCGCCTTTGCCAATCTCTTTGGCAGCAACCAAGCTCTTACCGAAAGTGCCAACGACCTGTTCAATCAGAATTGGAGAGAATTGGTTGAAATTCTGCGCCCTGTTATTGAAGAATCCATGGATACATCTATTCGAACACAGGCCAATAAGATATTTAGCAACATTCCGGCCAAAAGTATAATACTGGATGCAAAATAAAGTTCAAATGAATGGATATTGTAGCATTTTAGAATACAGTTTCTTAATATATTTTTAATGTATTTTATTTTATATATTACCTCCTTATTATGTAGATAAGACTTTAAAGTTTTGGCCACAGTCTTCCTCCCAATTTCCGAAATCTCCTTTTTATACCCTCCGTACCATATGGATACAGAGGGTATATATTATTTGATATTATGTTTTTATCTATGTCAGGTGAGAAAATGGACAATATCGGCCCACTCTATTATGCACCTACCACTTAAAGGGTCAAGATTTATAATAATTCCAACTCTTGTAAAATGTGAAAAAAGACTTCGATTATCTTCAAATATGACACATCCCAGTATTATTACCAACGCAAGATCTGGATAAAGAAAACTGCAACAATGTCAAATGCCATAATTATACCCTACAACACTATGTGTTGGGGGTATTATAAGTTTGATTGGGCCAGAATTTATGTAACACCTCGAAATATTGGTTTCCCATATAGGAAAGTATATATGGATCTTCCTAGCTCGCCGAGCTGAGTCGATCTAGCTATGTATGTCCGTCCGTCCGTCTGTCCGTCTGTCCATGTTAATTTGTAATCACTCTACAGGTCGCAATTATGGTCCGATCTTCACGAAATTTAGAATGTAGGTGGGGTTAAGGTCAGAATAGAACCCTATTTCTTTTGGAGATGATCGCATAATATTTAGGGGTTGAAATGGACCAAAAACTGAAAAATTTCCTGATTTTGCAGTTGCTCTACAGGTCGCAATTATAGACCAATCGACGCGGAATTTCGCTCGTAGCTAGAGTTTAGGGCGGGGAAGAAGCCTACCAATTTGGGTGGTCATCGGATAATATTTAGCGGGTAAAATAGACCATATATTTTGTGTTGAAAAAAATCAAAATTTTTCATTAAACCGCGAACATTTTAAATCCCGGCGAAATCGCAAAGCCTTGACAAGGTTACTTCTGATCTTTACATTGATGTTAACATCCATCAAATCGGATATATAGCAAAATATGTGCGATATATGTGTCTATCAAAGAAGATATGCTTGAAAGATTTCTTATATGTCGAGAACGGCTGAACTGATTTCGACAGTTCTCATTAATTCAGAATGGCCTCTTGATAGGAAAGAAAAAACGTCTAAAAAATCGCATAAAAATATCTCTCTAAAGATGAAAATATTGATTTTGTAACATTTTTTCATATTTTTTCAATTTTGTCATATTTTTGGCATATTTTCATTTTGAATTAAACATTTGGTAATATTTCTACAGCTAACAAAACTAAGTAGTTAGGATATCAGGATATCATATACAGATCGCATTTATGGCCCGATCCTTACGAAATTTTGCATGGAGATAAGATGAGGGTCAGAATAAAAGCCTACTCTTTTTGGAGATGATCGCCATATATTTAGAGGTTGAAATGGACCAAAAAACTGCAAAATTGTCAGCTGGTCGTAATTATCGCCCGATCCTCACGCACTTTTGAATGGGGGTTGCCGTACATTGCAAAAGCCAAGCAGTTTTGGATGGCCACCCAAAAATATTCAATGTGTGAAGGAGTTTGCCAACTTTCGTAGACAAAATACGAAAATGTCCATTCCAGTGAATTTTTGGAGAATTCACAAATACAGGAAAGACGCACTTCTGGCTATTTCGTTAATTAAATTGGAAATATATATAAACTGTATCGTTTATTATAGTGTTGTAGGGTATTCAACGGTCGGCCCCGCTCGACTGTAGCTTTTGCTTACTTGTTTTTAAATGTTTTCAATTTTATTGAATGAAAGCAGAAAATGTTGGAAATAGCATCAAATTTTAGAATAAGTTTAGATTTGTTCGAATTGGTCACCTTTGGTACGTATTATGACATCCAAATGGTCAATGAAACCGTCACACGCTGTCCGAATATTGATCTGCGGTATTATGTCCCATTCCCATCGAAGCGCTTGCTTGAGGTGATTGATACTTTGTTTTTTCTTTTAGTGCCAACCTTGCTTTCCAAAATACTCCAGACACAATAGTCCAACGGATTGGTTTTCGGAGATGGTGGCCATTGAGCGCTGGAAATGAAGCGAGGAACCTCATTTTTTAACCATTCTTGGGTTGCGAGTGCTAAGTGCGATGGTTCTGAGTCCTGTTGGAATGTCCAAGGTCTACGGCCAAAATGTTTGCGTGCCCAAGGCTTTAATACACCCTCCAGAATATTTTCGCGATAATGAGGGGAGAGCGGCCATCGGCTGTTATGGCGGCCCACACCACATCATCACCATTGCTGGCGCTTGAGTTCTGGTGGCCAACCGAAGGTGCACATTTCCAGGTGACCTCTTTGGCAAGTAAACACGATCATTTTGTTTGTTTACAAACTGCTGGACAATGATTGTTTTCTCATCGGAAATAACCAAATTCCGCAGTTCACCACTTTTGGCCAAGAGAAGCATCTCTTTAGCTTTTTTGAGTCTATTTTCTTTCTGTTACAGTGTAAGTTCTTCCACTTTTTGGAATTTCAATGGCTTTACCCCGAGCTCATTTTTCAATATTTCCCGAATGGAATATTTCGATATGTTCAGCTCACGAGATATTTTCGGGTCACTGCGACGCGGAATTCGACCAAGTCGCTTCTTTACTTTCAAACCATTTCTGCTGATGTTGCTGTTTTCTCCAGTCCACTTCCTTGACGTCGGGCAACGCTACCAGAATCACGCTCATATGCGAAATGAGCATCCGATTCCTTTTTTATCAACACAAAATCTGTTGTGAAGATGGTAGATATCATCCACTCCTTTTGGTCCGACCACCCACAAGGGGTCAACATTTTAAATAACCAAAACGCTTCACATATTTCAATATTACCACTAACACAACATCTGATGTGAATGTTGATATCACAAGGATAATAATAACTTCTATTTTGGATAATAATAATTTTTATAACATGCGAAATATGTCAAACTTCGTGTGTTTCAATATTTCTGTTAACCAAAGATCTAATAGATATTTCGGCCCACTCCTTCTGGTCAAACTTTTGGCTAACAATTATTCCTTAGGAATTAAATAAGTGTACGATTTTCTTTAAATTTTGCACATCCCATTATTTTTATCAGTATTTGAAGAAGTGGAACTTCTGTCTGTATCCCATTCGACTTTTCGAATCCATAAATAGGAAATACTAACACTAAAACAAAGGTCCTGCAAACGCGGGTAAGATCAGCTAGTAACATTATAAAATTTATTCAAATCACATATTTTAGCGGATTTCGTGTGCGACATGCCCATAAACGTTACAACATTTGGTACAACATTTCATATATCAAAATAAAAATTAATAAATAAATAAAGTAAGTGTCGAGCAATCACAAGTAAATGAGAATCATACCCACTTCTTGCCTTTTCCAATATCTTCAATAATATGATAATATAAAACAGCATAGACACGCAACAAAATACAAACAAATTCACACACTGACGAATGTGTGGATGTATCTCCGACTTACAGAACTCAATGAGTTCTTGATGAGTCCGACTTTTAAGACCATATCAGCAGTGGTTTCTTCACTATAAATATTTTAAAATGGTTGCGACAAAGAACATTCAAAAAAAGAACAAGTTAAAAAGCAGTAAGTTCGGCCTGGCCGAACTTTTAATACCCTCCACCATATGAAACGAATTTAAAAATTTTCAAAAAATAAAATCCTTAAAATTTTAAAAATACCGAATATATCCGTTATATTGGGGTCTATACGACGTGGACGTACATAGGCATTGTTTGTAATAAGCCATTGCCATATTCAAATTCAAAATTTGAAATAAACTGTGAATAATATAGCTAAAATCATCAAAATACCGAATATCGGGGGTACGGTATATGGGGGCTATACGAAAACGTGGACCTACATGGCCCATTTTCTGTTTTATGCTGCAGTATCTATTGCGAACCAAATTTGGAACGATTCCGTTAAATAATGTCGCTAAAATCATCAAAATACCGAATATCGGGGGGTACCGTTATATGGGGGCTACATGAAGACGTGGACCTACATGGCTCATTTTTTGACATAGGATGTAGTATCCTTTACGAACTTCAAATACCAAATTTGTAACAATTCCGGTAAATAATGTCGCTAAAATCATCAAAATGCCGAATATCGGGAGGTACCATTAAATGAGGGCTATATGATAACGTGGACCTACATGGCCCATTAACGAACTTAACCTGCCTACTGGCAAAATACACATTTGTGCGAAATTTCGTTCGAAAGATAGCGTGATTACAACAGACAGACGGACAGACACACAGACAGACAGACGGAAATGGCTGAATCGTCTTAGAATTTTACGCTGATCAAGAATATATATACTTTGTTGGGTCTGACATGAGTATTTCGTGGAGTTACAAACGGAATGACAAAATTAATATACCCTCCATAGTATGGTGGAGGGTATAAAATTGTTACTACGATCTTCAAAATATCGAATATCGATGTGTACCGGTATGTAAAAACCGTGGGAAAAGGTTTTGACAACGGTCATGAAAGGCATCATGAACAGCAAATATAGTATTTTAATCCCACAAAAAAAATATAAATACGGAATATCTGAAGCTAAAGTTATGAATTTTTAAATTAAATTAAACCTTTTACAACGGAAATGAAACTATTTGTGAATAAAATTAAATTTTTAGATTTAAGGAATATAATAAAAGATTTTGTAGCAGGGTTTGGTGTGTAGATTTCCGGTTCCAATTCCAAATAAAATACACCAAGGTTTTCTACATAAAATCGTTATAAAAATTCTTTATTGAAAATAAATCTTACATTTTTGACAATTGGTCCATATGCCTCAAACATGAATACAAGGGACTGCCATCGCTTTCACCAAGTATTCTATGTAATTAGCTTCGGAAGAATAAGCCAACCGGCCACACAATCGTGTTTCCAAGAAGACTTAGTTCTTACCTTATGGATTGTCTATAAGAGAATCAAGGTCCGGCGCATTAAACCTTCGCTCTTTTATAGCCATCCAAACAAAGCTTTTTTCCAAACATATCGA